TCGTCTTGTATTGATTGACAAATGGACGAGCCGACAACTATTTTATCGTCGTCGGCGTAGATGAGGCATGGATTTGCGACCTCCTCGGCCAGGTCGTTGATAAATATTAGGAAGAGGAGTGGTCCTATTATTGACCCCTGGGGGACACCACTGGTGCTTTCTCTTCACTGGAAATCGTGGATCGTATTTTCACCTGGTAATTACGGTCGTGGAGTAGACTGGCTATCCAGTTAAATACCTGGGTTGGAGCCCCTGTACTCCTTAATTTATATAGTAACAGCATGTGGTTAACGGAGTCGAACGCCTTTTGGAAATCTAGGTAGCAAACTTCGACTGTTTCTCCTTTGTCTAAACTGCTAGTTACTTCGTCTAGAAATACTAAGAGGTTGGTCAAACAGGATCGACCCTTGAGGAATCCGTGCTGTGCTTTCGAAATGAAGTGCACGCCTATTGGGTGCTCTGATAGTTTCTTTCGTATTATCCGCTCCATCGCTTTAGAAACAATGCTGGTTAAGCTAATTGGTCGATAGTTTCCTATATTGGCTGCATCCCCTTTCTTGTGGATGGGGGAAATCGTTGCTCTGCGCCAGTCGGCTGGCACTATATCTGTTAACATCGACTGATTGAACGGTGATGGCAAAGGTTTAGTTGAAATCTCCATCAGGCCACCCTAGGGACCTTAATGCCCCCGATTCATGTTCAGGCACTCTAACCTGCAAAAGCATCTCTTTTACGTCTGCTGCTTCAGCTTCTTTACCTAAGCGACGGCGCAGCAGTACTCCAACTAAGTTAGCTACGTTATTTGGTCCTGACAATAAGTGTTGGTTACGATAAATTCCTTGATAGGTGGCTGCATAATGAAAGACTATTCTAACCTTTTCAGGTTTCTTCGGGTTTACCACCGGATGATGTGGTAGGTACCACATAGTTCTGTAAGCGACTTCCAGTTAACAGTCAGGTACGCGGTCGAAATAGCCCTTTCGAAAGTGGCCGTTCAACAAACTATTGTACCTATTAAATAAATTTGGATCTTGCATAAACCTGCATTTCAGGCATTCCAACCTCCGAATCACAATCTCGTAGTTGTTCGGTATGGTCTCTGGTTTGGTTTACCACGTTAATCTATTAATCGTTTCCCATCATGGTTTATCGATTCCTCTGCTATTTGTAACGCTCGACGATCTTCCTTGGAGTGATATATGACCATCGTATGCAGATCTTCAAACTCCGTGTTGTATAAATCCTCCATCAAGATGCTAGTTTTACTCTCCCGAGTAACTGTAAACATTTGTTTGCAAGCTCTTACGCTCAAGGAAGGTCCCATAATCAACCATCCCAACGCAGTTTCGATCG